GCGGCTGCGGGCGACGAGGATGCGACGGAGCCATGATGAGGCTTCGGGGCTGTGAAGAAACAGGCCATTTTCACGCCTCTTCTTTTGCTTTCTTTTTTTAACTTGTGCAAGGCTGGGGCATCCCGGAGGGCGCTCGGCCCGGGAGGGTCCCGCGGGTACCACCTTGGCGACAGCGCTGCCGGGGGGACGCGATGTGCTGGAGTCAGCGTTGCCCCGCTCCGCTCTTCGCCCGGGCTGTTTGATCCGCTCTGTCCTCTGCTGCAAGCGTTTCGACGGGCGCTGCCAGGGAACTTGCTTTTCCCTTGGCGGAGAGGCCACAACGGATGCGACAGAAGAGGCCGCTTGCTTTTTCAAGGTATTTTTTTGTTGTTTCAAAGTTCCTGCCTTCAACACAGAAGCAAAACTGGCTGCACTAAAACAAAAGGCAGCTACTTTTAAAGGAGGAGAGATGGCAATCCCCACCGAAGATCCTAGTTAGGAGCCATGGTTTTGGGGTCCCGTGCTCTTTCCTCCTCTCCAGCCACGGCCGCACGCGGGCGGGAGAGCAGCTGGGACGAGCCGAGGCACTGACGCCGCTCTGCAGCCCCGGGAAGGGTCCGGCACCCACGTGGCTGAGCTGAACCACGGACGTTGAGCTGTCTGGTTCGTGGTTGTCCATCACGGACGAGCTGCACTCAGTCCTAGTGCCGCGTAGCTGCGTTTATTTAAATGCTAGAGACCTAGAGAGGAAAAGGGGCCTGAGGGAGGTAGGAAAGGTCACGCAGAGTCACTCAGCAGCCTGCTTTCATCCAGCCCTTGTTCGAGCAGAGCTGTGAGCTGTTTCAGGCTCTCGGTGAGGGAAAAAGCTAGGCCTCTCTGAGGATGTCACCCAGCTGCGTGACATCCAGGACGACAGGGTATCTGCCCTGTGCACTCCCAAAACGGGACTGGACTCTGCAGAACATCAGACTCTGGGACGCTGGGGCTGTTTGTGCTCTACAGGACCCCAGGGATTACATGTTCCCTCCTCGTACTCGGAGGATTTGGCACTACCGAGGACGTCCTGGTACGAAGAGAGGCCTCTCGCTCCTGCCATGTGAATGACATGTGGCGTGGATAGTCAGGATAACTTCAGTTGTACACTGGAGGCCAAAGATCTCTCCTGGCCTGCATCCTGTTAATTAAACAGATTGCTCTCTGTTAACGAGGCACCTCTCACACTTGCACAATCCTGCAGCCAGGCCATCTGATGCTTAACTTGTGGCTGGGACTGACACTTGGGGGCCTGAAGGCAACCACACTTCTAAAAACATATAAATTTATTTAATTCCCAGGCACAGCTGAGCAACCTACTCCTCAGCACACGCCATCCCAAAGCCTCCTCTCGACTCGATGCTGTAAGAAAGGTCCCATCGGTTCTATCTGTAGGAGTTTGCCTTGTGCTTGGGCAGGAAGGTGAAGTTGGCAGGTACGGGTCCCAGAAGCAGCTCACTGCAACAAGAGAAAAGATTTGTGTTCAGTTCATCACAAGCAGCTGGGCCACCAAGACTCAGCTGTCACAAAGCCCCTGGGGGCTCTGCAGCGATGGTATGTGTAATCAGAAGTATCAGACCAAGCTTTTACTGCCCTGAAACTCCGGGAGAAGGGTTGTTGTACACAATCCCCTCCATAGGTGCCAAGCTTTAACCCTGCTGCAGGGACAAAGCCCCCAGAGATGGGCGCTGCCTTCAGTCTATGAGGCGTCACCTAGAGTCAATGCCAACGTGGGTTCCTAAGTTTGGTGACCTGAATACCAACCTCATTGCTGGAAACAATGCACCTAAAATCATCACGAGCCTTTGAAAAGCTCGTCCCTACCTCTGGCTGTGCTTGCGCAGAGCCAAAACCCTAACGGTGCCAAAAATATTAAGGTCGGATCCGAAAATGATGTAAGCCAGCTCTACTGCAATCAGATTTATCCTAGCTTAAGACTTCAACTGTTTCACACTTTGGAACCCACATTGTGTTTTCAGTGCAGATTACTTTTCTTTATAGTCAAGGAGGCGTAACATATTTCCTGGATGCTGGTTCAATACAGCATCACTAAAACTTTCCATAAGACATGTCAGCAGAGACTATCCCAGTAGGGCACACAATTGCATAACAGGACTTTGTGAATCTATGGCACAAAAGCAGAACAGTGTGTGCTTAGAGAATCCTGCTTCTGGTTAGTGTCTCTTTAACATGAGCTTTAGCAAATAAACCTAAACTGACTTTTAAAATTGTTCTTTTAAGAGTCTGTTACAAGGCATTCCAAAGGGTACAGGTTACAAAGCATAGTGGACCCAAAAGCTGGCAGGTTCTGCTTGAAAAATGGCATTTAAAAAAATCCGGATCAAAACTCCGTGTACTTGTAACTTGGTTTTAGGCAGCTGTTCCCATTACTAACAAAATGGATGAGGATTAGCAAAACCAGAGAAGGTTGTAGCCATGCTCTACTTTTGCTAATCTCCATTTCCATGAGATGGGAAATAGCAGCTGGCTACGCTGCTCCAACTCTCATTTCAGCTGGCTCTGGGCTTGCAGAGTCAATTTCCAGCCACCGTCTGAGGACTCGTAGATGTGGGGAAAAGCAGTTTCCTATGCTCTGTTACATCAACTCAGAAATCAGACTATGAAAAAAGAGGAAAATATCCAGTTCTCCTAACTAATTTCACAAGTTGTTTGAAAGCCCTTGAGGATGGGGACTGCTCCCCTGCTCTGTATGGGCCCAGCAGAGCAGGGTCCGGGCAGAGCACGGACATCTCCGATGCTACAAAAGCCTGAGACGTCCCATCACTGCGCTCTCCTCCGTTGATTCCTTCGACTGTCCCTGGATGAACAGTGTCATGAGAGAGGTCAGCTAGTCTAGATTTGTGCTGGGTACTTGATGACCTGCTAAGGCAGATACCGGGAATGAGAGAAATCCCAAGCTCCGTTAAAAACCTTGCTGAAGTAAAGTACTGGTTAACCCTTCCTGGTTTCTTACAACCTCTTAAACTTGTGGAAATGAGAGATCATCCCATTTTAGAGGATGCACACGGGCACGGTCACTTTGTGAGGCTCTGCAATGTCCCCTCCTGGAAACCAAAAAGAAATTCAGTGCTTTGCTACCTTATTTTAATCCAGTCGTCCACATTTTGGCTTGCCATTAGTGTCTCCAGATAGTCTCTCCCCATGTAGTAAGGCGGTCGCTCATTGATTTTCTGAGGTAGGTGTTCTAATAAGCCAACTGGAATATACCTACAATGCAAATATAAATGCTAATGACACCGTGTGCTATTGCTCAACTTGTACAGGCCTTCTGTGAAAACGATCCTACCAGTTGGGGAGAATTACCTGCACAGAAAAGAGAGCCATTCCAGCAGGAACTTCCTGGTTTTCTCGACTCCCTGAGTATCAGACCCCCAGTGTTCAAGGCCATAGTTGGTGAAGTCTTTGAGGATATCAAATCTCTCACTGGAGGAGATATCCCAGTGTCTCTGTTCCTTAATTTCAGTGAAAATCCATGGTTTGATGAGTGCCCCTCTGTAGTCAAACAAAACGGGCATTGTTATTCACCTGACTGCATGCTTCTGGCGATGCCAACTAATTTAAGAGACTTTCCAGCTCTTATTTGCCAGCCAGTGTGACTTTAAAAGCTTTCAATCTCGATAAGAAGCTGCTGTAAGTTCCCACAGATACAAATGACTCCACTGAGTTCCAAAGAGTAGTTTCTTCAAGAGGAAACTCTTCCTGTGTTTTGAGTTTGTTTAGGCTTTTTCTTTTTATTTATTTTTTACTCCTGCATCAATAGAGCCCAGGGAAATAGAAGTGAATGGGGAAATACAGTCACTTGCCTTGCAATCATAATTCCTGAAACACCCATCTGCATGGCTTGATTAGCATCTTCATAAGATAAAATATCACCATTTCCTGTGTCAGAAGGGAGGGAGAAGCCAGAGGTCAAAGTGATGCACCAGGGCAAGTCAGAATGAGTGAATCCAGGCATGGGATAAAATTTAGAACGGCTGTAGTGCCTAAGAGCCAGGCTGTCCAAACAGACTCTGGGACTCATGCTTAGAGACTCCCAAGGCTATTTCTGATTAATAGTCCCCTTACAAGGAAAAGAACTCTCTCTTCCTTTTGCCCCAATCCCAACTACTACCCTCAAGGTTTAGCTGGGACTGTCCGCGTTATGGTGTCCAAAGGAGGGAGAAAAAACACTATAAATGAGGTGCATTATGTGTCTTACCTGGCCCTTCCCCTCCTAGCCCTGCTCAGCGTTTGTTAGACCTGGCCCTGGAGATCCAAGCGCTTGGGCAGAACGGAGCTGCCCAAGAGCTGCTGGTTGCACATGGTACAGACTGGGAAAAGCCCGGAGGGACTTCAGGCAAGAAAGCTGGTGCCCCAGACCTGGCACGCACGGCACGCAGGGGAGGCAGATTCCTCCTCACCGTTCTTTTGCCCAAATGAAGTCCTGCCACAAACGACCTTGCTCTGAAGTGGCTCTGCTGGACATGATGGTGTCTGTCTGCTCGCTCTTTCTCTCAGAGCAGAGCTGCACTTAAAAGCAAAGCAGGCAGTCGCTGCTGGGACAGCTGGGCCACCTCCACGCTCGGACAATGCTCCGTGGTGTCGTCACCAGCCATACCGATGCTCCAGCCTTTCCCATAGACTGCATGCACTTAGGGGCCTTTTTTTTTTTCTCCATCGTTTAAACAAAACATGCAGCATTTTCAGTCTACTGAGATGTGATCTCAGGCAGGATAAAACAACAGAAACACCTACCAAAAAGAGGCATGGGGTTTGCTATTTTAGCACATTCTGCTATGTAGTCCCAGTCGGCAACCTTTGTGTACCGTTGTTCCCTAGATCGGCCGTGAAGCTAGGAGAAGAAAGCGGCAGTGAGACCCTCACCCGAAACGCCCCAGAGAAAGCAAAGCAGAATGGGAGCACCAAAGCAATGTGCTTCGAGGAAAGGCAACACCATCACTTTGCGGGAGAAGGATCTTCCTAGACGTACACCCCAGCTAGTCGCTAACAGAGACGCCTGCAAAAGCGGTTAGCAGAGGTTTAAAGTGTGCTGGATGCTTTCTGCACTATGTTTCAGCTATTTACAATCCAGAACAAGAAGTGATGATTCACAGTAAAAGGGAATACTCACTGTGGACAGGGACTACCCACCCTGCTGCAACTGAGACGGCTCCACCCTTTTTTCCTCAACCCTGGAATAATGCTTATTTGGCTTAAAAGCTCTATTTCAAAGCACTGCAGGAGTCGCCCCCTTTTGTAACGGATACAAGACTTGGGAGTACCTTGGACAATGCCTTAAAAACAAAAGCATCTGCATTTCTTCTATTATTAGCAGAAATCACTAAAAGGTGCCATGCAGCCAAAGGTGTTTGAAAGCACTATTCCGCTGTGGGGGGGAGGGGAAGGTCACCCCCACATGGCGCTCTAAGCTGACGTGCAAGCAAAGCTTCCCAGATACCAGCCAACAATCTGCCAACAATCACAGCAAGTATCCTTGTACCGTGACCATGGATGCTCCCCACTCCCGGATCCTGGGGATTATTTTATGAGCCACGTTAATCTTTTCTTGCACCCCAGTCCGTATCTTCACAGTCAGCGGGACGTCCAGCACCTGCAGAAAGGGCAGAGTGAGGCCAGGCTCAGGCAGGAGCCTGCTGCACCAGCTCATCTCCTGCTGCTGGCAGGATGCTCTGACTCACCGAGTTCATCCCTCTGACGATCTGTTCAAACTTGTTAGATCGGGTCATCAGAGCACAGCCCCCTCCCTGTAGGACAAAAGGTGACACAGTCAAGACTTTCTGCCTCTTTGCATAGTGAAGAGCCTACTGAAAGCTGCTCGGACAGCAAGCAACCCCCTACTCAGGGGATGCAGGTAAGACTTGGGAGCATCCTGAGCCAAGGGAACTCTTCAAAACGGCACCTGGTCCCTTCCCAACTTCTGCCTGCTGCAGGGCACCAGCGACAACCAAACAGTCCCTGCTCCGCGAACAGCTTACTGGCCTCCCCACTGAAGTCCAGTATCCATAAATAAACTGGGAGCTCTGGACCAGACTAGCAAGAGCAATCAGGCAGTGGGGGGTGAGGCAAAAGACAGACATCTGTTCAAGGAAGTGAAAGATGCTGCAGAACATCTTCTTACCTTCTTGTAGACCAGGTCAATTGGACAGCCAACATTGATGTCTACAAAGTCCACTTCAATTGTCTGATTCAGAAGCTCTGCACATTTGGTCATCGTGTCTGGAAATGCTCCCTCCAGCTGCAAAAGGCAGACAGTTTGCATGAGTGCAAGAGGTAGTGTTTCTCCTCAGGAGAAGCGAGTGATCATTTGGCTGGTTATCAAATGACAGCGCTCACCTGCACCCCAAAAATATCTTCAGTGTGATGCCGTTTGAGGAGAGCCCACTCGGAGGACTGGCCCTGAAGCAGGTTTGTGCACACGGCCATTTCTCCACAGGTGACGTCTGCCCCAAAGCGCTTGCATATCCTTCGGAAAGGGAGGTTACCGCACTGAAACAGGCAGGAGACATCTGACTGTGCGTGGGCAGCTTGTGATCTGCACAGTTTGTCAGGAGATGTGCTCCGTTCCAAACGTGCCAACAAAAGATTTTGACAAAAGGAGGACAGAATAAGCTACCTACTGTGGTCAGCGGAGCCAAATAGAGCTTGCCTTGGATTTCCAACTGGAAGACAACCAGGGATGGGGGGAAGCATGTTAGCAGAGCTGAACAAGCAGTGGCCAAACAGGAGGGGGAGATCCCAGTTAGCAATTTTCACCACCTGCCTTGGGTGAAACTCAGTGGGAAACCAATCTCACACTGTCTCTGAGGTCAGAGCAGCGGTTTTGTTCAAGAAGCTCAACTATTCCCTGATAAGGTATTGCTTGCGTAAAAGAATGAGAAACTTAAACCGCTCAGTCTGTTTTCACTGCTCAGCTTGAAGAAAATTCAAAGCAGTTACAGAGGAATGCAAGACTAGCTGACAGATGCAATGAGAGAGGTGATGAGGAGCAGGCGGCGAAGGCGGCAATTCTGTCCCTCACTTCAGGACAGCACCGTGCAGTACACATAAACCAACCAGGCTCAACCTCAGCTCTCCTAGCAGATCTTTTCCACCCTCACTGATGGCTCAGCCTCTGCTCTCCTTCACGTGCAAGGGATTGCCAGCTGCTCCCGGTCCTCACCCTCCATAGATAACACCATGGCTCCAAGGCTCACATTCCTGCCTCCTTCCCTTCTCATGACAGTAATGTTGAGCCAAGGCAGCCTTGTCCTCTGCTTGCCTCTCACCCAGCTAAAATGTCTCTTCTACCTTCCCAAGCACAATTTCAACCGCTCGAGAGGCAGCCGAGAGATGGCAGCCCTCGGCAGAAATTCTCACCGCTCACCTTTTTCTTCTCACATGGCCGCAGCTTTATAATGTCTTCATCCGTCACAGGGCCTGTTGCTGTGACAGGGGAATCCTCGGAGGCATCCACGGGGCCAGGACTCTCCAAGGCGGCTGGTTTGGGATCTTCTCCCTCGTCTAGTAGCACAGGATGTTCTGGGGCATCCCCGGGGCCCTTCTCAGGTGCTGTGCAGTTGGGCACCTCTTGCCCCTCTGTGGAGTTCCCTGCGCCCTTGTTTCCCTTCCCACTATTGCCATGAGACTTGGCCAGACATCGGAGGTACTCGTCAGCCTTCTCAAAGCTAAACTTCTTCTTGCGCAGCTGGTGCTGGAGGTCCTTGGAGAGGTTGTTCCTCACCAGCGACTTCCCTTCCCATTGCTTGGCCAGGTCCACGTTGACAACGTTCTGGTAGCCATCCCCGAGGTGGGCCCGGGCAAAGCGGCAGGTCACACCATAAATGCACTTGCCGAAGGTTTCAAAGAGCACGCAGTTTTGCCCCAGATCAGCTGGTTTCACAGCCATGTATTCGTCGATGTCATGAAGGAAGCGGCACCGTGAGCCAAAGTAGCACTTCTCTGCGCACCCCTTAAAACAACGAAGAAGAAGAGCGTAAAAACCTCTGCCCCTCCACTTGCTCGGTCAGCCATGTCTGTATTTTCCAGCACAACCCAAGCGGTGAGCCTGGAGCCATCCTGTCCCAGAAAGGGGACAGGACAACTGCTCTGAGCACCCATTGCTCCCTGGATGCTGCCGGCCTTCCCCTCCCACAGCTGTGGGACTGGCAAGAGGGGAGAGAGAGCAGCTCTCACACATGCACTGGGAGAGGGGAGCCAGAAGCCGTCTGCCACGGTGGTGGCAGTGCTGTGAAAACGCTATCGTGAAATGCTACTGGGAAGCAGATCGCTGGGACGTGCTATAAAGGGGCAGTTACTTATTCACTTGCGAGGGTATTTTAGCTCTACAGCTTCAGGGAAACTAATTCTTCATTTGTCCCGCTGAGCTTCATGCGGATACATGTTCTCCTAGGAAGCCAAGAGAGCAAGTTCTGCCAGCGTGAGCCCCGTGCTCTATCTGCTCCGTGCCATTCTGCTAGGAGTTTGCAATGGCGCATCTTCAAGTACTCGAGGCTGTGTTTTCTAGACTTAAAAATATATAAAGCTATCAAGCAGGGAAGGTGCATGTGAGCCCTGAATTCCTCCAAGCCGGAGCCCAGCTGAGCAGGGCTGCCGTACCTGCGTTACCGACGGGCAAAGCCTGCTCTTCTCATAGTGATTTGGTTTCATACACGGCCTGCTCTTATTCTGCCCTCGGGCTCTTTTCCGTTCGACAGGCTCCTTCTCCTCTCTTCCGGCTTCTTCAGCATCCTCTTGGCTTTCTCCTTCCTTAACAGGGTCATCTAACTTTGCTCGCTTTGCTGGAGGCTCGGTCTGGTCATTGCTGACCGACTCCTCTTCTTCATCCTCCTGAGCGGCCTCCTCGTTCCCGGATGCCCCTCGTGCTTTCAGATACGCGTGGAACCGGTCCTTCGACGTGAGATACCTGCGGAGTGGGAGAGGCGGCGTCCAGCACCAGCGCAGGCGCGACAGGCGCTACGGAGGTCTCACGGCCCCCTCCTCTCCCTCCTCTTTTGGGGGGGAACAGAGAGCGAGCTGCAGAAGAGGAAGAGGTGGGAGGGAGGCAAAGGGCCATAAACGCACGGGGTGGGGGCTAAAGCATCCCTGGGGGAGTCAGGCATGCCTGGGGTGGGGGGACAGGAGGGACCAGGCACCTGCTGGTGGGGAAGGGGAAACAGGAGGGTCT